CGGCTCGTGCACGGAGGTGGCCCCGGGATGGCTCCAGCCTGGCCCTTTGGAGAGGTGCAGAAGGACCGGCCCTGCTCAAAGCTTTCATCCAAACACGCTTTATTAGCTCAAAGCAATAAAATAAAATATAAAAAATATAAAAAATGATTAAAAAAAGAAGCCAACGCCTGCACAACTGGGCTCCCCTGCACCCAGCCAGGACGCCGGGACCCACTGCGGAGCAATGGAGCCGGATTCCGGCACCGTGCTGGCTGCGCACGGCTCTCCTTGGCATGGGGCACCAAGCACCCATCAGCAATGGCCGAGGGGCTGCGGCAGCACCGGGACCCACCTGGCTCTTCATTCCCAGCACACGGAGCTCGGAAATCCCACAGCTTCCCAGGCGGCACCTCCGGAGGGCTCGTCCTCTGCCCATGGTCACCATCACCCAAACGGGTACCCGGGGTGAAGCTGCCCAGGTCCCAGCAGGGTTTGTCCTGGTGTTTGTCCCAGGAAGGCCACACGCACACATGGAGCTTGGAGGGTCCAGAGGATCCCCCCGGGGTCCTGGAGAGCCCGTCGGGGTGGTCACTTATGGATGGGGTGGACGTAGTTGCGGGGGAAGAGGCCGACGCGCCCGTAGATCTTCCCCTGCCACCAGTTGGGGTCGGGGCAGTCGAGCACCTCGATGATGTCCCCGCGGAGGAAGGGCAGCTGGGAGCTCTCGTGGCTGCAGAAGTCGAACTGCGCTTGCACAAACTTGGGTCTTCTCACCTGCGGGAATCAGAGCATCTCCATGGCTGAAAAAGACCTTGGAGACCATCGAGTCCCACCGTAAACCCAGGAGCGCCCCAGGTCTCTCCTTGCCCCAGTGCGGCTCCGCCGGTACCTCCTGCTCCTCGTCCCGGAGGAAGATCTGCTGCTCCCTGGCGATGGTGGTGGTGCGGTAGAAGTCCACGAGCTCGTTGAGGGAGTTGAACTTCTCCTCCCAGAGGAAGTACTTGCCCTTGCGCTCCCGGAGCACCTTGAAGTGCTGCACGTGCTGCCCGTAGCTGCGGACGGGCCAGGCCGTCACCGCTCGCAGGGGTCTGCAGGGCCAGGGCCAGGCCCCGGGGCAGGGGCAGGGACGGGTGACGCAGGGCACCGCGCTGGGCCCTATCATTAGAGCCTCCCTCCGCGCTTAATTAGAGCTCAGCAGCGTGAGAAAGAGCTGGGCCGGCCCCGGCTCCTTTCGTGCTGGCTGGGGGTCACAAGGGGCAGCCATGGGGTGGGAGTTGGGATCTGTGTGGAGCTGCAGGGACCCTGGGGGGCCCCTGGAGCCCAGGGGTGCTGAGGGCGACCTGCTCCTCTCTGCTCTTGAGAGTCACTTCCCCAGCTGCGTTTGCTCCTCTGCACTTTGTGTTTCCGTAACTGTGTGGGCCGCAGCATCCCGCACGCTCCCTCCGCATCCCGCATGCTCCCTCCACATCCCACACGATCCTTCACATCCCACACGCTCCCTCCGCATCCCGCACGCTCCCTCTGTATCCTGCATGCTCCCTCCGCATCTCATGCGCTCCCTCCACATCCCACACACTTCCTCTGCATCCCACGTGCTCCCTCCGCATCCCGCACACTCCCTCTGTATCCTGCGTGCTCCCTCCGCATCCCGCACACTCCCTCTGTATCCTGCGTGCTCCCTCCGCATCCCGCACACTCCCTCTGTATCCTGCGTGCTCCCTCCGCATCCCGCACACTCCCTCTGTATCCTGCGTGCTCCCTCCGCATCCCGCACACTCCCTCTGTATCCTGCGTGCTCCCTCCGCATCCCGCACACTCCCTCTGTATCCTGCGTGCTCCCTCCGCATCCCGCACGCTCCTTCCACATCCTGCATGCTCCTTCTGCATCTCATGTGCTCCCTCCACATCCCACACACTTCCTCTGCATCCCGCGCGCTCCCTCCGCATCCCGCTTACTTGACGGAGATGGAGAACTCTCCCGGGGCGCTCTCGCTCTCGCGGATGAGGAAGGCTCCGGGGTGCTTGCGCCGCAGCAGCAGCTCCTCGGCCGCTTGCCGCGAGATCCTGCCCACGTACCAGCTGCGGGGACACCCGGTGGCATCAGCCGGGCCCCGCGCGGCCTCTGCGGCGCCTTTGACCGCCGGGGGGTAACGATGCATCGCGTGGAGGTCGAAACAGGGCTGGGTTGTGCTGGGCTTTAATAACCCGGTGATAGGATTGCGGCTAATGCCTGCTAATCCCATGAACGTGCCCTGCTCCCCGATTACGGCTGCTCCAGCCCTGTGCGGGTTCTGCGCGTGCGGGTTGCACGGCCGGGCTGCCTTGGGCAGGGCCCCAGGGATCCCTGTTACTCCGTGACTCGGTGTCCCCGTGCCCAGGGCCACCCCAGCTCTTGGCAGCCCGTTGGTGGCAGGGACGCGCCGGGCGGATGGTCCCCGGCGCTGGCGGAGGGGACCCCGCGGCAGGACGGTACTTACGGGTGAGGCTTCACCCTGATGTAGTTCTTGGGGACGAAGCCTTCGGCACCGAAAAGCTCGGCCTTGTACCAGTTCTGGTCGTCTTCCATGTTGAGGATCTGTGGGGAAAGGAGCTGGTGTCACCCAGTGTCACCCGGCGAGAGGGCTTGTGCGCATTGCCTGTCCCATGGACCCCTGTCCCAAAACCCATGTGGAGGGGGGCTCTGCAAGCCCTTTGCACAAGCCGGGCTCGCTCGAGGGCCAGGGCTGCTCCGGAGCAGCCTGTCCTGGAGCCGGGAATACCGCAGGCACCCGCCCCGTGGCCTGGACCCGCA